AGTAAAAGTTGATCATCCCAAGGAGAGGTCGTGGTTTTTTGAGTGAATCGGGTAAAGAATAATTTACGATGGTATGTATTTCCTCAGGAACTGCTTTGTGACCTTGATAGTTGAGTACGTGACCTAAAAATGTGAAGGGTCGTCTTCCGAACTCATACTTGTCAGGAGTGATAGCCAATTCAAACTCAGTTATCTTCTCAAAAATCATTTTCAGGTGAGTTAGATTTTCACTTTCATCTTTGCTGACCATAAGTAAGTCATCTATGTAACTATATACAAATGGTAGGTAACGTACTGCTTGATCAATAAAACACTGAAAACTTCGTGCAGCATTCCTTGGGCCAAAGGGCATGCGAACGAATTCGTAAAGGCCGAATAAGGTAGTAGTAGCTATTTTGCGATGGGACTTCATTATTATATTTATGGACGTCTCGTTGGATATAATATCTTTAATTCTACTGCTATGATCGACAAGTTGAAGTTTTCGCTTTCTGACATCTACGAGTATTTTACGGGATTGCAGAAAATCAACACCGATTATGGGAATGAGAATATGAAAAGTTAGATTTACGACCGAAATATAATTGTAACTGTCTTTTACTGTATGTCTTGATCTCGGATCTATTCGAGGCTTGCAGTTTTAGTTTGAGGTTAGGTGTTTTTTTCGAGTGTAATAGGTGGTACTACACCAACCCCCTCCCCGGTGTCGACTAAGAACTGTGTTCCAGTCATTTTGTCCGTAACATATGAAGAACGACTGTCTTGAGAGTTGTGACAGGCGACCACAGTCGTCATTAATCGTCGGCCTTGATGTTCCCACTGCAGTGTGCTTGCATAGTTACAAGGAGGAGTACACTTTTCGGCTTCTTTACGTTTTATGGCACCAACAAATGGTCTGTCGGATGGTACTTGAACTACGACGTTTACAGCTTGTGGACCTTCTCCCACGCTTGCACTGATAGGGATTCGAAAATTGGGGCTGGGCTATCTGTTTAGTGAGGACGTCGAATGTTTGTCGTAACTCGGAGACCTCGTCAGCTGAGTTTGTTTGTACTTATGATACCGAGTGAATTTCAGTCCGTTCGTAAATTCTGTCGGCTATGTCCGTCGGCCTATTAAAATCGGCATCTTTGTCTTCAATTGCTAGTATCTGTTGAATGTTTTGCTAGAGACGTCTGAGCCACAATTGATATAATAGACGTTTATCTACTATACGATTCCCCAAAACATCTGTCATGTATCGTTTTATTTGAAATGGTTTGCTGTCACCTTGCTCTACATTGGCTGAAAGTTGATCAACTTTCTGCTGGTCGGTGAGAAATGTGACACGAATGACCTCTCTTTTTAGGAAATCTTACGATGAGTCTGGATCCAGCTTAAAATTGACGTCAGGCACTTGTCCAACAACGTCATTCAGCAGTACCGAGTTCGTGTAACTAAGTCTTGTGCTCTAACTTGTGATTCTGTTTGCAACAAAAAAGTTTTCTGAGCGCACAAACCAGAGTTCGGCTTTTCTATTGTTAAAGATAGACAGAAGTACAGAGATGGTACCCACGGAAATAGACTTAGATGAAAAACTTGTGAGTTATCCAGTGACATGATACGAAAAGATAATGACAATGGCAATAATATGCTGAAGGTTGAAATATACTATATGACGAAATAACAAATGAAAAAAAGAAATGTACGTGAGACTCACAGAAAAAACTGTCACTTTGGGTTTAAATATGCAGTAATTCCAAAGGGACTATGTTATGAGTGAATTTACTATGACTATAAATGAATTGTTAATAATTGTAATAGTAACTCCAAAGTGAAATTCTTTTTGATATGATTGGAGAATATGCGGCAGACTTTGTAGAGAAATTCGTGCTCCAAATGAGGGCCACCAACTTTGGGGAGAAACGAGGCGTTTTAAAATGATGCTCACCAACTTTTTAGAGGTTATTTCCTCTATATCCAACTCCAATAAATAGTACCACGTTAACTGAGTATTTAACGCAGGCTAAACTTCCTAGTGGAATTATGGATTTACTCTAGATTATTCAAAAGCCCGAACACCAGTTATAGAGTTAGTTTATTGTTAAAGATTGGTAAAATCCGCAAGTGTGCAGAAAGCAAACACACTCGTTTCCCTGTGTTCACTAGCTCTGCTGTCTCAGTCACTAAAAGCCTAAAGACTTCAAGAAACCTGGACACACATAAACCCTCATCCAGAGAGAGAATTCGAACCAGTACCTTAGAGTGATTTTCAGTCAGTCAGTCTGAAAACATATGGCAGGATCAGGCAAAACCGTTTCGTCAAATGCAGAAGTCAACTTTTCTTTAAAGACTTCAGTAGTAGTGCTCCGTTAAGACCAAGTTATTTAAATGAATTGAATTGCCTGATATGTTATTAAACAAAGTTTTGACTGACGCGGGATCCCAGTAAAATTTTAATATCTTTCGGTCACGTGTTCAAGCTAATGACATAGAATTTTGTGAATTTCACCAAGTCACCAGTAATCATCAATAGTTAATTTGCGTGCCAGCTTACAGGCGATATCGAATTGCTACAAGTGCCACAGAATTCATGGCAATGAGTTACTCCTTTGACTTGATGCGACAAAAGACACACTGGTCAGGAGAACAGAGGGATCGATCATTCGTAATTCGAAGTTAGTTACCTTTATTTCGATATTGGCCTCAAGTGATCAAAACACTTTGATCTCTTTCTTAAATACTGTACCTCGAACATCAATATGCAGAATGTTTCTAAGACAGCCAACACACTGAAACATTCCTGCACTGAAGGATCAAATGATAAAGTGGAAGTATTTGATCTGTGTGTTATACTTCGAACACTATCCTCCATACCACTCTCTCAGTGTACTATCTTACTGCCTGGAGAACTACATGTATCATTCCCAAAATAGAGTCAGGACCTACTGTAAATGTTGAAAATTACTGGCCCATAAACATGATACCAATGGTCTCTGAAGTGGTGGTAAAAGTAATTAAAGCGGCGATACTGCAACATCTTCTTACCTAGAATTTCTACTCGACATCTCAGAATGGGTTTATGAGGTCCTGGTCATGCGATACATGTCTGGCAGACCACGCGAATGATATAACTCGAAAAAAGAAAACAAGCTCCTTTTATCGGTTCTAATCATGAACTGTAGGAAAGCTTTTGATAAGGCTTCACGCGAAAAGATTCTGGCGAATCAAATTCGTTGGGTATCGATAACTCATTATATTCGTGGTTCGACGAATTTTTAACAGAACGTGGAAAAATACCACATGTCAATGACCTATATATTTTGTCAGTTTTCATTTAACAAAAACACTGTAGAATCAGGCATTTTCGGAATCATCTTCATGATCTGCTACTTAACTTCAATAAATGTATGGTTTTGTCAGTCGGTGTAATTGAATACGGAACAGGCTGCCGATATCCATGCATGACTGTGACACTATCACCAAGTTGAAAAGACTCATGACATTATTTTTCGATTCTAAACAGCTTCATATAGTGTTCTGCCAGTCAAAAAGTTTTGCCGATAGAAGGCACCTGATACTTTGGAAACCTACCAGCTTGCTGCCCCAACATTCCGTAAACCATGATGTAGTCCCGAATAATCGGGAGGTACCACTCAATACCTCGATCTTAAATAACGCTTGACATAATGAACTCTCAACATGTCTACCAGTAACTCCACAGTTGATGCTCGATAACGCTATGGGATTATTGATTCCTAATATTCAAGGAGATAAGTCGGTATATCCGAAATTCTTCTCATTCCAGTATCATGGCTTCAGGAAGGGTCACGACTATACCACCTTCGGTCGGTAAATTGGTCACCATTCTCGGCCTACAAAGTAGGGTTGGTTTTCATAATGTTATTTATTCGTATGTGATTTGTTAATGAACTCAGGCAAGCAGGCATGCAAACAGTCACTGATGTCAGATTAGTCTGACACATCTATAAAAAAATCACCTTTCTTAGTTTTGAGTCATTTTTTCTGAACTAACTAATTGCAGCCCTAACTTGGGTAAACAGTAATGACAGTCTTGATAAAAATCTGTTTGGAATAAGTGTATCTCTACAACACGTCTTGCTCATAGTAAATTAGAAAACTATCTCAGACAAGCTATAGTTTAGAATTTGAAACGACTGACGTCACATAAAAAGCACTCATGGATTCCAGTATTAGGAAGAAGCTACAGTCCATTACTTCTAGATGAATTTCACTCGGGAATAGTTTCTCGATGTAGGACCAGCTCCAAACCAATGTTACTGTTCACAGCCCTTAAGAAAATGTCACCTTTTCTCTTAAAGGACTTCTGGGAATTCTCTTTCACTAGCTCATCTTGAAGCAAATTCGGACATTTCACCACTCTTAACGAAGAGAAGGTGTATCTACAGTTCGTTCTTCGGTCTCGCATCTACACATTGTGATTTCGTGGCTCACCGTCGGATGTTCCTCGGAGTGTCCTTATCTTTTTGGAGTGAGGCGGAAATACTATGTTTCTGTACTCTACATGACAACAAATAAAACTGTTGAAGATTATGTCGAAAGTTCTTCCGTCGAACTGTCCGGAAACGCGCTACAAAATTACGAGTACAGGGTTTGCTCAGAACGCGTTTGTCTCGCAGATAGCGTAAGACTTAAGATTGTTTGTCACCGAAACTCCTAGATCTTTCTCAATCTCAGATACCTCGGGAAGAGAGTTGCCTAAGTTGTACTCGCAGTCTGCAATATGTCTCGGATGGACTACTTTACACTTTGAATTGTAAAAGATAAGTCTGTTGTCATCTGCTCAACTTGGAAGTTGGGTCAGATCCTCCTGAAGGAAAAGTGTTAGTGACAGCAGCGGGCTTCCTCAGATGACTTCAACTAGACACCGTACGGAGTCATCAAGATTGCTAAACTACTGGTAGTGCACCTGATGTACTTTCAAACAAGATCAGAGGTACGAGGCTACTCTTCGTGAGACAGAGTCTAGAATTTCCATTCTTTTTGACTGGTCTCACCTTTTGTTGAGTTAATATGTTGTTGAGCTTTACGGACAGGTTGATGAGTTTCCATTGCAGAATATCAGAGTTTATGCGGTCCAGTCCATATTTTCCGGCACCTCTCGCATAATGATATTTCTTCCACTTAAGACTTCTCCCTTCGGAATATCACTGATGAGATTGCGCTCAGAGTACGGTACATCAGGCAGTATTCGTACATGCACATTGGATTTCGATAATCGACTAACCAGTTGGTTTCCCTACAATATTTGGGATGTTTTGCTTCTTAGACGGTGGCACCCGATCCTTTACAATTGACGGGGACCTAATTGCCTACAAAGTTTTTGTGGACCACCGTCGCGTCCAGAGATCCTGCGCTGGAAGACCCAAGATTGATGAGGGAGTCCAGTACCGTTGATATTGTGATGGTGCTGAGCTTCAGCATATCCTGACTAGTTTTGATGCATGTTCCGTTGATATCAACGTTGTCCAGGTCCGTCTTTTTTCACTTCTCATCTATGTTTGTTTATCCGTTTTCGGATTGCTTTTGCTGTTTTTTCCCGCAGATCCGTCAAGTTAGTGACGATCTCGCTCAGCAACTCGTCAGTATTCATGTTGCACATGCACATGGTAAACTGAGGCAAAACCAAAGTCAACTATGAACTTGGGTAACACTGAAAAAGAAAATTATTCTACCAAAACTTAGTCTCAAGAAAGGTTTCTTGAACCAAAGCTGATACTTTTGTTGAGTAAGGTTGCATCAAAAGTTTGGGAAATGCAAATCACATGAAGACTAAGCCCCTCATTTGTAAAGCGCGCTGAGTTACCCTAGGGTTAAAAGTAGTACCTCGTGAGACCTATTTGAGAGAAGATAAGACCCTCAATGCAGATTGAAGAAATGTAAGGTCATCGGCTTACTGTCATCAATGCGGTAATCTGTAATTTGCTATCTTCCATCATTTAGACTGTCTGAAGGTCACGCTCGTCATTCGAGAATGGCCTTCAACGGCTTTAAAGAAATTTTCGTTAAGCAAAAGGTAGTATTTGGTTAGTGATGGTAATTGTTTCCAAAGACTTTCCGTCCGAAGAAAAAGTTTGCACCAGATACAATACGTTACCATCTCCATAAGCACGCTGAGGCTTCACTAAGTTCAGGGATCGACCTCAGAGAAGCTGTTAAAAAACCAGATGACGAAGAACTGAATGATTGGATTGCAGTTCATGGTGAATTGAAATACTGATTGTTATTTTCTCAGTTGTTGATTTTTATAACCGCATCAATCTCATTTATGGGACTATATGTGATCGGTGCACTGAGCAGACATGCCCCACAATGTCTGGAGGCAAAAAGTTTGAATATCATTGGCGCGATAATATACATTATAAAAAGCCTACTCCACTACCAGCGCCCAAATATATCGATGAGTTGATGGACTGGGTTGATGCACAAATAAATGATCCATCACTTTTTCCAACTGATATAGGTATTATATTCCATATATCACGTGATCGTTTAGGTGTTCCTTTCCCAAGGTGTTATATTTCAACTGTGAAGAAAATATTTGGTAGGCTGTTCAGAGTGTTTGTGCACGTTTATATTCATCACTTTGATCGTTTGCATGAGATAGGAGCAGTATGTGGTTTTTCTTTTTTAATCGTAGTATTTAGGAGGCTCATGTCAACACTTGCTACAAGCACTTCTACTATTTTGTAACTTATTTCGATCTTATCGATAAAAAGGAACTGGAGCCTCTGGTTAGTTTTCCTGTTCCCATTATTTTATATGATTTGTTTTTAATTGCACTCATTAATTGCACTCATGCAGTAATAAGTATACAAACAAAGATTTTCTGGATAGACTACCATATCATGTGAGGGTCTACAATACAACCCAGTTACCCAAATGAAATATAAAGAATTTGATTTCTGGAATTTCCCCATAGGTTTTGTATATAAATTGACACTGAGAAACGTTTGCTGTGTGCATCTGAATCAGGATCCCTACCGTAAAATGCCCAAGTCCTTAATACACCTCTCATTTTAGGGCTTTAAACAAGGAAAAGACAGATGGGAAATGTTATTCATCATTTTACGAATACATAATGTCTACCAACTATTAGAAGTAAATATTTGTACTTCTTGGAAGACGTAAACTCATCGAAACTGTTTACCTGCTAACCTATATGAGGCAGAAGCGAAATATAGTGTTTCTTAATTCATTCAAAATAAGTGTGACTTCTGTCTTCGAATATCGGTTCGAGCTAAAATTAGTTATACATAAGCAACTCAGAACCTGGCGTTGGTGTAAGTTCTCTTGGTATATCAGTACAACCAGATCCCAGAGTAGAAGACGTAGTTATAGTATCAGTGGCAGTAGAGCAGGCTACAAATAGATAATATGGTTCGAGATCCATTTGTGCCACAGTATATATATATATATATATATATATATATATATATATATATATATATATATATAGTGAGATAATACTCTTCGTCCGTAACCAAAACGCCTTATTATTATCTTCGGTTATCAAGTCGTCATGGACAGCATTTCATAAGTGAGATAAATAATTTTCAGAAAAGAAATCGTTGTACATAAAGTGTGTTCATTTAAACTGTTTGTCTACTAAAAAATAAATCACTTGTCCTGAGTGCTTTTTAATGTATTTAAACTTTCGTAGCTTCATTCAGTTTTATAAATTTGTAGAATGATTTAACCCAAAGGATCTGTCACTAACAGGATCATATAAATAAATCGCTCTCAAATTTTATACATCATTATCTGAATGACCGGGCTGTCACGAGAAGCAAAAATATTAGCATCAAACTCTGTACTTTTCTGTCTCTGATTTTTGGTTTCTGATGTTTTGCTACTCCTTTTTTGTACAAAAGAAACTGATTTTTACACATGTCAAACATATATTTATGGTATTTTTCCTCTCTGCTTCTGTTCTTAAAATAAGAAACTGTGCATTTCCCACTCATCTATACCATTATTCAACCGGCAACCAAAAATAATATCTTTCTTTATTTAGATTAATTATGTACTTCTTTTTGTTTTATTTTCTATGCATCTGTAAAGTTCGTTTAACAAGTGTATTCACTATTTTCGTACAGCAAATCTTGATTTTTTAAAAAAAAGAAACTACCATAAATTATTCGCACCACTACTTCTAGCTTTTGCGTCTATTTTAAGCGAATAATTGAGTCTATCCTAACTGAAAAAATCATTTCTTAATTTTAATAAATGTAACATTGGATATTTTGCTTCTTGTGTTCACTCTAAACAAATTTAATGCCGAAAATCTGATTGTATATACAACAAAGTTTGAAAGATGTTAATGTAGTCCATGTAAAAATGATTTTTATGAATGCTTATTTCAAATCATCTCAATTAAGTAACAATTCTACAAAATTAAAAGCTTTCGTTGCTTAACTCAAACCTTTTCAACCATAGGTTCACTCGTCGACTGAATTTTCAGGAATTGATATTCTACCAGGAGGTTCACTTATCGACTTGGAATACGCAGATGGCATAGTCCTGATTGGTGAAGACGCTGGCAAAATGCACAGTTTTCTGTTAGAACTGAGTAATAATGCCAGGATGTTTGGGATGCGTTTCTCCCCATCCAAATATAAATTGTTACTCCAAGACTGGCCTGCGTCAACACCTGAACTAAGGATAGGGAGTGAAGTTGTCGAACGCGTCGACTAGCCGGAGACTTGAATGCACAGGTCGGGCGTCTAGGCACAGAAGAGAGTCGTTTAGGTGGCCGATGGGGACCTGTTGGTCGCAGGACAGATAACGGGGACCGTTTGCTGCAACTGTGCACAGACCACAACCTGCTTCTGGCCAGCACTAACTTCCGGCACAGTCATCGCCAGTGTGCTACCTGGCGTCCTCCCTCTGCATCTCAAACCTGGACTCAGATTGATCACATCGCGATCAGCTACCGCTGGCGTGGTTGTGTACAAGACTGCCGCTCCTTTTGGAGTACCTATCTGGAGTCTAATCATGCTCTGGTCTGCGCCAATCTCACCTTACTTTTCAGTGGCCGAAGGATTGACCACCACCAACGGATCGATGTTAGTAAACTGGCTGCAACTTCTGTTGCAAGTAAGTATCGAGCAGAGCTAGCTTCTAGGCTAGCTACCATCCCACCGAAAAGTATAGATGAGCATTGGTTGCATCTTCATGACGCCATGAAAATGGCGAGTAAAGCCGCTTGCGGCTTCGCGAAACGTCCCGCTTACAAGCACTGGGTGTCTTCTGGCTCCTTACAACTGATGGAAGCCCGTCGGTCTACTCCGGGTGACCGTGAGTATGACCACAAACGAAGGCTGTTACGTAATGAAATCGGGCAAAGCTTGTGTAAGGACCGGGAAGCCTGGTGGTCGGAGCGTGCTAATGAGATGGAAGCAGCAGCTGCATCTGGTAACTGCCGGAAGCTCTTCCAACTCATCCGAACCACTGGCAGCAAGAAGTCTGGTGTGAGTGAAACAATCTGTGAGGATGACGGGATGCCAATCACTTACATCTGTCGACATCTTGGACGATGGGCGGAATTTTTCGAAGGGCAGTTCAACTGGCCTGCTGTTCCGGCAACATCGACCAGATTGTCCTGCCCCCCATGACCGGTGACGACTGATCCACTAAATGAGGCGGTAGTCCGCAAGGAACTCCAACTATTGAAACGCTACAAATCGCCAGGCCCAGATGACTTACCTCCAGCTCTTTTTAAAGATGGTGGTGACTTTCTGGCTATGGAATTGGCTTTGTTTACAAAGGTTTGGGAGCTAGAAAGTGTTCCAACATCATGGAATGAGTCGATAGTCGTCCCTATCCTTAAAAAGGGTTCACGTTGTTCCTGCAATAACTATCGTGGGATAAGTCTACTTTCGATTGCGTCCAAACTATTGGCTTCTATCATTCTTCGTAGGTTGTTTAAAACCCGAGAACGATTGACTCGCGAGGAGCAGGCTGGTTTTCGTTCAGGTAGAGGATCCATTGATCACATCTTCACCCTCCGCCAAATGTTAGAACACCGTCATACTTATCGCAGGTCAACAATCGTAGTGTTTCTTGATATCAGGGCTGCCTTCGATTCGTTGGACGGGACTGTTCTCTGGGATTGTCTATTGAAGAAGGATGTACACGAACACCTCAGGGAGAATGAGGGCATACAACCACTTTTCTTCCTTGTTCCATTCAAGCAGTGGGGTTAGGCAGGGTTGCCCAATCTCACCATTCCTCTTCAACTTTGCAATCGATGACATTCTGTTCACAGCTCTGATGGATGTAGGTAATGGCGGTGTGGATATGTTGCCTTGAGAACGACCTCGAGTATGCGGATGATATTGTCTCACTGTGCGATAATGCCCAAGCCATGCAATCCGCACTTAATCAGTTGGCCATCAGTGTCCGCAGATACGGCATGTGCTTTGCACCCTCCAAGTGCAAAGTACTCTTACAAGACTGGCAGGATTCTAATCCTGTACTCACCCTAGATGGTGAGCATATTAAAGTATTTGAGAAGTTCGTGTATCTAGGTAGCTACATAAGTGCTGGTGTTGGCGTGAGTGATGAGATCGATGCACGTATAATGAAAACCAGAGCGGCTTATGCCAATCTAGGTCATCTTTGGCGCCTTCGTGATGTTAGTTTGGCTGTAAAAGGTCGGGTCTACAACGTGTCGGTGAGAGCAGGTTTGTGTCTATGCTTGTGAAACCTGGCCTCTCCGAGGTGAGGATGTTAAACGACTCCCTGTGTTCGATCATCGTTGTCTCCGAAGGATTGCTGACATTCAGTGGCAACACCATGTTAGTAATGCAGAGGTTCGGCATCGTGTGTTCGGGCGCAGAGACAATAATTCAACTGGTGTCACCATCTTGAAACACTGACTTCGGTGGCTTGGACATGTTCTACGAATGTCGTCCCAGAGAATTCCACGTCGTGCATTATTTGCCGACTCTGGGACCGGTTGGAAAAAGCGGAGAGGTGCTCAGTGTATGACATGGTGTCGTGGTATGAAAGAAAGCTGCAAAGGTCTGGCTTCTGTCGGTCCTTTACGACTCGCTGGCTGGGGTCCAAGAGATGGTGCAACACAATGGTTAGAGACGTTATCAGATATGGCTCAGAATAGAAGCCAGTGGTGAGCCTGCTTTAAACTTCTTTTACTTTCTTCATAAAGAGTGGTTCTAGCTTTCTTAACTGAGAGAGTTCTTCTGGTTGTACATTCAAGTTCCCCCCATCATTACTCTTCTCTTTTTTCATTTTTTTCTTTTATATATACGCATCTTCCTCCTTTCTCTTCCCATCCTCATTGTTTTGTGTGGCGCATATGTACGTGGTGCCTCCCTTGTACCAATATGTATGTGTTTAAATAAAATAAAAATAGTATATAGACCTATAATCGTCAGTTGCATAGCCTTTTTCTTGAAAATTCCTATCTTGGTGTGGAGTGAATGCATTTCGCTTTTTTTAAAATAAGTTACCTTGTAATTTAAACTTATTTCGATCTATAGAATTCGAATAACTATTGTGTTCCAATTCTATTTGGGCAAACATTACCTTGGTGAGTCGAGCTGCAATGTCGAATAAATCGTTAATATTTCATTACCATCTAACTTACTTTTAGTCTTTGATAAAATGAACTCGTTCATCCGCAACGCAACTCATATTTCACCTACTCATATGGGAATACATTACTGTTTCTAAAAGGTGTTTTTATCAAGATTGGTAATAAGTATTAGATGTATTACGAATCCTAGGTATCATAGTCTGTTCACTTACCATTTCAGTAAAGTAAATGTGATTTTATTCACTTCGGTTTTACCAGACAAGACTCTATTTTGTAGCGGAACTTCTTCTAGATGATCTTTAAGCTTCGTTTGTCATTCGTTCAGATAGCCGTTATTAGATGACTCTCAACGGTGTATGACTTTCAGAAGAGACTACTAAGCTATGACTACTGTTTATTATTGGGCAGCATAGAGCCACCAACCACATGGAGCGAATGCGAATACGTATGCGAATGAATACTTAGGATTTAAAAAGTACATATATATCAGCAAGCGAATGACTGTAGGTGACATGGCTGAGAATCGATCACAATGGCGCAGGTGTATACACTCTTTATCTTCCCTTAAACCTTGAGATTAAAATGGCTTCATATCTGTCTTTTTTCCTGTACTATATCCTTATGTACAACCTTTTATATATTAAAACCACTAAATTAACTACTATGAATTCGGTGTTCATCTTGTTGTGCTAACGAGGTATGGCAACTTGGACCGATGCATATATGTGCCTGGTCCTACGTTGTAGCCGACTGAATGATTCATCCAGCGACTTCACTAATCAACACTTAAACTAGTAAGCGAAATACATGTGCAGTCCGTAACACGTAACCAAAGCTTGTGTGATCATATAGACGTGGGGATAAGAGTGTAAAGATATACACAAATTTTAACCAACAAAAATGACACTGTTGAATAAGTTAATTGAAGGCTTCAATAAATTTAAACGTGTACAAACTTGTGTTGATGAAGATTCTATAATTTTAATAGAATATTGTTCAAAATGCCACAAATATTCTCTTCGATTACACGTTAAGACTGGATCTAATATCGGATCATCTGGTACCCATGTCCATTTCGCCCTGTTTGATTATTTATATCAGAGTAATTTATCGGATAACAGTTATTTATGATATGGCCAGTTTTCGTAGATCCTCT